TTTATTTAAATTGTAATTAAATACTTTGTTTACAGCAAAACACATAATTTACATAAATTTGATAACAAACGTTTTGCAAAATAAATTTTAAATTCACTTTCACTTTTAGAAATTGGAATAAAATTGTAACTAATTTTCAATTTCAAACACACAGTTTAAATTTTAACTGATTGACTGAAACAGTTGCTAGCAAGTTTAAACAATTTATAGCACTCTTAGATAAATTGTATGAAATTCTTGAGTTTAATTGAAATCAATAAAAAATTATGCGTCTAAATCGCGTACCGGTCTAAATCTAACTAATACGTCAGTACAAAAGTGGAAACATAGCTTGTGTTATGTTATGTACAAATCTCGCTCGGGCACATTCCAATCAAACCAGTATCCATTTAACAATGCATTCAAAGCTCTATAAAATGCACAATTTATACATAACCTAAAGCACAAGCTTTGTTTCAGATTTTACATCATTAAATGTAAACAAACAGATCATGAGAATTTTAGTTGTCTACTTCAATGGTGAATTTTCTGCAAACTACAAAATTGTAGTCATTTTGCCTTTATCTCTACTTGAAGATACAAGCGGCAGGGCCAAACAGCCCTTCTTTGTAGAGGCCGAATATAGGCTACTTCCCCAACCAAAATAGCCTCTTTTTTCCCCACTTTGGTCCTCAAAATTCCCCAGTCTTGAAATTTCCAATAGAATTTAGAACAAAATGAAATGATGGTTTTGAATTTAGGTCTTTTACTGCCTTATTAGTATTTCCCAGTGCTTTTTGCTTTTCTATTTTGAAGAACTTGTTAAAAGTTTGTGTTAAATTTGAGACCCCTTTTCCCAAAGTATGCCAAAATCATGCATATTTTCCCCAAGAATAAGACTGAGGCCCCTTTCCCAAAAATGGTGTTTTGGCCCTGAGCGGATGAGAGAAATTTTTGATCCCAGAAGAAATACCAAATGACAGAATGACACTATTAAAATATAAAAAATGTTAAATAAAAATAGAAATTTTTTTTTATCTGACTTCCCCTTTTATAGGCTTGGCCTAAAAATAATTTCATATTATTGTAATTGAACTAATTCTGTAAACAACCACAGAAATTCAACAGATTCATCTTGTCAATAACAGTGCTGTAGATAACCATTGTTTTATTGTTAATTTGCTTTGACAAAATGATTTCGTTTTAAATAAGAATTGAAAATTAATATATGTATTACTACAAGCAGACCTGATCTTAGTAAGATTGACAACTCATTCGAATTGGTAAAATTTGCACCGAATTTTGTTCTTGCTTATATTTATAAGTATTCCAGATATGAGAGTTTAGTTTTTCCTAGTAAATGTCAAATGGCGTCAAAATAAAGTATTTTTGTTGTTTGATATATATTGGATTAGCTGGGAAAATCAACATTTGCTGAGTTCCAGATAAAATCTATTAAAGCCTTCAAAGACAAAGTATAAGTTTACAGTAAACATTTTGAAAATGACAAGTTTTTGCTTTATTTCAGACTCTGCTGTTAAACATCTTTATAGTGAGTGTACAGGTCTGGTGGTGTAAGGGCTTCTACATACCAGGGGTCGCACCTGTAGAGTTTATCAAAGGTCAAGATGTAGATGTTAAAGTAAGTACATTTACTATATATGCTTGCGGTGGATGTGGTAGCTTTTGTGAAGAAGTATGATACTAAGTAGCCATTTTGCTTGGTTTTTGTTTTGTTTGAAGCATTGAGTTAATCAAATATCAATTCAGATCAAATAACTTTATATGTGTTCCATGATAGTTTTGGAGTAATTAACTTCTTCATTCTGTCTTGTGTTTTCCAAAATATAATGTTTTTTCTTCTTCACCTATGTATAAGGTGACTTCCAATGTGAGAGACTTTGCAGTCTCTGATTCCAAATTTTGGGACTCAAGGGCCAAAAATCCATAGTATACAAACAACCATTTACAATTTGATTGGGTCACCTGAAGAATATTTATAACATGAAAACAAAGACTACATATACTGTTAATAATAATATTTTCCATTAATGCATATACATAAAACACAAGCTTCCATAATGTGATTATATAACATGTAGTTTTTGTGTCGCCTTGAAAAGGTGACATATAGGGGTTACTTTTGTCGGCGGTGTCGGCGGCGTCTGTGTCGTTGTCGGCGTCGTTGTCGGCGTCCCCTAAAGCTTGTCCGGAGCATAACTCAGTCACTATAAGTCTGAATGACTTCAAAATTGGTATGCATGCTTCTTTCAATAACCTGAAGTGCAGTGCACAAGGACCGGTACTCTGCAGTTCTTATTTTTTGAGTTATTGCCCTTTGTTAATTTTCATACTTTAATTTTGTCCAGGCCATTTCTCTTCAACTAAAAAAGCTATGGACTTGAAACTTCATAGGATGATAGATCTCATTATTAAGAAGTGCAGTGCACAAGAACCAGTACTCTGCACTTCCTAATTTTTGAGTTATTGCCCTTTGTTAATTTTCATACTTTATTTTTGTCCGGGCCATTTCTCCTAATGTATAAAAGCCATGGACTTGAAACTTCATAGGATGATAGGTCTCATTAAGAAGAAGTGCAGTGCACAAGAACTGGTACTCTGCATTTCTTATTTTTTGGAGTTATTGCCCTTTGTTTATTTTCATACTTTAATTTTGTCCGGGCCATTTCTCCTTAAGTATAAAAGCTATGGACTTGAAACTTCATAGGATGATAGATCTCATTATTAAGAAGTGCAGTGCACAAGAATCGGTACTCTGCATTTCTTAATTTTTGAGTTATGGCCCTTTGTTAATTTTCATACTTAATTTTTGTCCAGGCCATTTCTCCGAAAGTATAAAAGTTATGGACTTGAAACTTCATAGGATGATAGATCTCATTAAAAAGAAGTGCAGTGCATAAGAACTGATACTCTGCATTTCTTATTTTTAAGTTATTGCCCTTTGTTGATTTTCTTACTTTATTTTTGTCCTGGTCATTTCTCCTCAAGTATGAAAGCTATGGACTTGAAACATCATAGAATGATAGATCTAATTGATAAGAAGTGCAGTGTACAGAAACTGCTGCTCTGCACTTATTATTTTTTATGCCCCCGCCATGTAATGGCCGGGGCATATAGTGTTACCCTGTTCCGTCATTCCCTCCTTCCGTCCTTCCATCCTTCCGTCATTTCGTCATCATCAGTTTCCGTTCATTATCTTAAGAACGGTTGGACACATTCAACTCAAATTTGACATATGGATATGTCATGAGAAAATACAGGTCAAGTACGAATTTGGTTATGGTTCGATGTTTTTTGGCAGAGTTATGCCCATTTTACTTTGAAAATAATATGAAATTTCAGTTTCCGTTCATTATCTCCCCAACGGTACAACACATTCAACTCAAACTTGACATATGGATATGTCATGAGAAAATATAGGTCAAGTTCGAATTTGGTTATGGTTCGATGATTTTTGGCAGAGTTATGCCCCTTTTACTTTGAAAATAATATGAAATTTTCAGTTTCCGTTCATTATCTCCCCAACGGTACAACACATTCAACTCAAACTTCACATATGGATATGTCATGAGAAAATACAGGTCAAGTTCGAATTTGGTCATGGTTCAATGATTTTTGGCAGAGTTATGCCCCTTTTACTTTGAAAATAATATGAAATTTTCAGTTTCCGTTCATTATCTCCCTCAAGGTACAACACATTCAACTCAAACGTGACATATGGATGCGTCAAAGGAATGCGCAGGTCAAGTTCAAATTTGGTCATGGTTCAATGATTTTTGGCAGAGTTATGCCCCTTTCACTTTGAAAATAATATGAAATTTTCAGTTTCCGTTTATTATCTCCCCAATGGTACAACACATTCAACTCAAATTTGACATATGGATATGTTTTTGGAATGCCCAGGCCAAGTTCGAATTTGGTCATGGTTCAATGATTTTTGGCAGAGTAATGCCCCTTTCACTTTGAAAATAATATGAAATTTACAGTTTCTGTTCATTATCTACCCAACAGTGTTACATATTCAACTTTAATTTGACATATGGATATGTCAAAGGAATGGGCAGGTCAAGTTTGAATTTGGTCATGGTTTGATGATTTTTTGGCAGAGTTATGTCCCTTTCACTTTGAAAATAATATAGATACATCTTAGGAATAAGCAGTTTAAGTTTGAAGTTGGTCATGGTTCAATGATTTTAGACAAACTTATCTTTCCTGAATGTTGGAAAAATTTTGAACTTTCAGTTCAGCACTCATTCTTATTTTGGCTACAAATATGCAATATGCTATTTCTAAAAGGTTAAGACTGAATAATTTCAGTGCCTTGAACATTGTATGGAAATGGTTTGTGTTAACATTGAAAAGTTTTAAGGGCTTTGAACTTAAAATGAAAAAAATAATGCACCATCTGAAATTTTGGCTGCATGCGGGGGCATCCGTGGCATGATGACACATTTCTAGTTTAGTTATTGCCCTTTATTATTTTTCATATTTCATTTTTGTCCTGGCCATTTCCGCTAAACTACATCGTTCACAAGGCGACACATCCGACTCGCGGAGTTCTAGTTAATACATATAAATCATAGATACTTGTATAAAAATTTAACTTAAAAACATGATCCCTGTTCTTTGGACGTTAAATATTATTTTCAAGGGGTATTTTTTTTTTTGGTTTTAGGGGGGAAAACACACACTGTTTTAATGGGGGAATGAGGTCCATATTCGGCCCCAAACTTTACTCAACAAGAGCCCTGCCCAAAACATATACATAATGTCCATTTCAAAAACTGTTCTGTCTTTATGTATTCAGACATTTGCTTCATAGAAGTGATGGCAAAAATGGCTAGAAAAATTCATGCTTTGGCCATTTATAAACAAGACACATCATAATGTATGAAAAGAACATGTATTGTACCAAAATAATTTAAATAGGTTTGAAAGTAAATTACAGAAAAGGGGTGGCATGGCCAAGTGGTTAACGTGTTGGATAAGTAGTCTTAGGATTGCTTGCCAAATGGGTTCACACCAATCAGTGGCAAGCCATTGTTTCATTGAGCTAGAAACTTTGCTTTCATTCATCATTGCTTGGTACTGGTTGATTCCAGGAACTGATTCGGGTGTATTTCAATAAGCTTATAGCTTCCAGCACAATTGAACTAAAGTAAATTCAGATAAACTAATAACAGAAAAGTAATTGTAAGTTGTAATCCTTGTTTTATTTAAAGTAAATAATCCCTGATGATATTAATGATAAAATATTTCAAACTATGTTTCTTTTTCAGGGCGTGAAATTAACTAGTGTACGGACCCAGCTTCCAATGGAGTATTACAGGGCCCCATTCTGTGAACCTGAGGGAGGTGGCCAGTACAAGCCCGAAAATCTAGGTAATTATAATAATGTCAATAACACAGGTCATATAATTGTCTTATATACTGTAAGCCCTGCCTTTTTCTGAAAGGGAAGTTTATGGTGCCAAATTTGAAGTGATTAGAAATATTTGAAAATATTTAATTTGCTACTGGGTTTCAATAAGCAAAAAAGTGGTGGGATGACATATTTTCAGGTACAGGTACTGCTGTACCAAAACTGGGACAGAGTCCTGTGTAAGAAAAAGTGCAATAATTGGTGCAGTCCCAGAACTTACCATTCAGTCATCACTGCTATTGATATACTGTGAATTCACTTCGTGGGCATGAAATTTTGTAGTTTTGTTAAAAAATTTTGTGCGTTATTAAATTCCGGGAATGTTTATTTTTCCAAAACGTTAAAATGTACAATAATGTGATGCAACATAATCTTTCAGCAGTTGAAATGAAATTTCGTCGAATCATAAATTCAAGGATTGACCTATCCACAGAAACCACGAAAATTAGTGCCCCATGAATAATGATGATTTTGCAATTTCTCAGTGTATTATAGAAATCTTTTGATGTCTTAACATCGATATATTTAATGCAACAGCTGTTGCCAGATAGCCTATTATATAAAGCATTAAAACAGTTTACAATATTTGGAATTGTTTTGCTTCAGATCTGTATTAAAATGGTATATTGACTGTGATAAATCATAATGACATTGATAAATTCATGTTGTCTGGTGTCAATGTTGGTAATACATGTAGTTTAAGGGTATGTACATAATTATAAGGGTATCCTTTAATATAAATGAAAACATTAAAGTGATCTTTATATTTAAGCAGTTTAATATGAACACTTTTGCTTGTTTTAGACAGACTTTTCATAGTAAAAACTTTTTTTCTCAAATTTTGTGCCAAAATGAACAATTTGCATGTTGCAACTTGGATTTTTGCCAAATTTAAGCCAAATATCCTTTTTAAAAAAGTGCAAAACCAAAATGAAGCTCTAAACTAAATTCTTCTGTTTAACCACAGCTGGAACAAAAAAACAACAAACAAGTAGCATTTTCCACCAGAGCAAATTTTACCAGACTACATGCACTGCTTGATATCCCTAAAATTTTGATGGATAGTTCCAAATATGAATTCTAGACCAGTCCATTTGAGAAGTTTAGCAGGTTATGGGCTAGTCATGTAACATTACATTTATAGATGATTTATTTTCTTGTTACAGGTGAAGTTCTTAGAGGAGATAGGATTGTTTCAACAGCTTATAAGGTACGTAGGACTAAAACATTACTGAATATGAATGCTGGAAAGAAAATAAATACCATATATAAAATTTCATATATCTTTTTGTTTTTAGCTCACCTTGCACAAAGTGCAGGTGAGCTTTTAGGATGGCCAACCAAATGGCGTCAGTCATCTGTCGTCCGTCCACATTTTAAATATTCTAAGGACATTTTCTATGATACCGCAAGGCCAATGTTAATGAAACTTGGCAGGAATACTCTTTGTATGAAGCTCTATCAAGATTGTTCAAAGAATTCCATTTCATGCAGAACTCTGGTTGCCATGGCAACCGAAAGAAAAATCTTTAAATATCTTCTTTTAAAGAACCGTAAGAGCTAGAGCTTAGATATTTGGCATGAAACATCTTCTAATGAGTGTCTACCAAGTTTGTTCAAATAAAAGCCCTAGGGTCAAAATTGGCCCCGCCCCAGGGGATCATTGATTTTCCCTATATGCATATAGTAAAAACTTAAAAATCTTCTTTTAAAGAACCCAAAGAGCTAGAGCTAAGATATTTGGCATGAAACATCTTCTAGTGAGTGTCTACCAAGTTTTTCAAATAAAAGCCCTTGGGTCAAAATTGGCCCCGGCCGGGGGGGTCATTGATTTTCCCTATATGCATATAGTAAAAACTTAAAAAATCTTCTTTTAAAGAACTGTAAAAGCTAGAGCTTAGATATTTGGCATGAAACATCTTCTAGTGAATGTCTACCAAGTTTGTTCAAATAAAAGCCCTGGGGTCAAAATTGGCCCGCCCCAGGGGGTCATTGATTTTCCCTATATGCATATAGTAAAAACTTAAAAAATCTTCTTTTAAAGAACCCAAAGAGCTAGAGCTAAGATATTTAGCATGAAACATCTTCTAATGAGTGTCTACCAAGTTTGTTCAAATAAAAGCCCTGAGGTCAAAATTGGCCCTGCCCCAGGGGGTCATAGATTTTCCCTATATGCATATAGTAAAAACTTAAAAAATCTTCTTTAAAAGAACCCAAAGAGCTAGAGCTAAGATATTTGACATGAAATATCTTCTAGTGAGTGTCTACCAAGTTTGTTAAAATAAAAGCCCTGGGGTCAAAATTGGCCCCGCCCCAGGGGTCATTGATTTTCCCTATATGCATATAGTAAAAACTTAAAAAATCTTCTTTTAAAGAACCGTAAGAGCTAGAGCTTAGATATTTGGCATGAAACATCTTCTAGTGAATGTCTACCAAGTTTGTTCAAATAAAAGCCCTGGGGTCAAAATTGGCCCCGTCCCAGGGGGTCATAGATTTTCCCTATATGCATATAGTAAAAACTTAAAAAAATCTTCTTTTAAAGAACCCAAAGAGCTAGAGCTAAGATATTTAGCATGAAACATCTTCTAATGAGTGTCTACCAAGTTTGTTCAAATAAAAGCCCTGGGGTCAAAATTGCCCCAGCCCCAGGGGGTCATTGATTTTCCCTATATGCATATAGTAAAAACTTAAAAAATCTTCTTTTAAAGAACTCAAAGAGCTAGAGCTAAGATATTTAGCATGAAACATGTTCTAATGGGTGTCTACCAAGTATGTTCAAATAAAAGCCCTGGGGTCAAAACTGGCCCTGCCCCGGGGGTCATTGATTTAACCTTATATGTGTATAGCAAAAACTTAAAAATCTTCTTTGAAAAACCCAAATAGCTTGAGTTTAGATGTTATACATGAAACATCTTTAAGTAAATATCTACAAAGTTTGTTCAAATAAAAGCCCTGGGGTCAAAATTGGCCCTGCCCCAGGGGTGTCATTGTTTTTAACTATATGTGTATAGTAAAAACTTAAAAATCTTCTTTTAAAAAACCCAATGAGCTAGAACTTAGATGTTTAGCATGAAACATCTTATGGGTGTCTACCAAAAGCAGGGCCAAAACACCATTTTTGGGGAAGGGGCCTCAGCCTTTTTCTTGGGGAAAATATACATGACTTTGGCATACTTTGGGAAAAGGGGTATCAAATTTAACTCAAACTTTTAACAAGTTCTTCAAAATAGAAAAGCAAAAAGCACTGGGAAATACTAATAAGGCAGTAAAAGACCTTAATTCAACACCATCATTTAATTTTGTTCTAAATTCTATGGGAAATTTCAAAATACTGGGGAATTTTGAGGACAAAACTGGGGAAAAAAAGAGGCTAGTTTGGTTGGGGAAGCAGCCTATATTCGGCCTCTACAAAGAAGGGTTTTTTGGCCCTGAAAAGTCTGTTCAAATAAAAGTCCTTGGGTAAAAATTGACCCGGGGGGGGGGGGGGGCTATATACAGGTGAGCGACCTCAGGGCCATCATGGCCCTCTTGTTGAATCTTATGAATTTCTGAGTAATATAACTGTCAAATGCTATATTATTTTACAGTGTTTTATCGTAAATGTTTCTGTCTCTGTTAGCAAAGGTAAACTTAAGACCGAATATATCTTTTTATCCTGCTACTGTCTATATCATCAGCTGGATAAAGCCTTGCCGGATAAACTTATCTATCTCCAGTCATTACGTCATATGATGACGTCACATATTTAGCAGCAAAACAAAGCTGCATATAGATGCTATTTTATCGGGGAAAAAGAAGAATGAAACCATTTAATTATTCTAAAAACATGATAAAAAGCAGGATAAATCAAATACATGGTTGATGTCGGGATGGAGAAGGTTTATCCGGTTCGCTGCGAAAGTGAATCTTGGCTCGCTAAAGCTCGCCAAGATACACTTTCTCGCTCACCGGATAAACCTTCTCCATCCCGACATCAACCATGTATTTTCTATAAGAGGGAACTTTAATCCCACTTCTGAAATTCATCACATGAAATAATCTGAACCGAACCAGGAACAGAATTGTTGTTGATATTAAAATAAGCAATTAAAAGCAGTCATTAAGAGGGGTGATAATATTTGAAACAGAGACTTCGTATTTTAATCCATGCTTTGTTAATATCTTAAACATCATATCATAATATAATGTTTCATCATTTTCAGTAATTTAATGTTCATGGTACCTTAATAATAAAAACTTTTGTAACTGTCTTAAAGATGTCTGTTAGTTTGAAACTTGTGTCAATTATAAATCAAATGTGTATGATAAATTTTCATACAGATCAAAGCATTGGAGGATCAGACTTGTAAATTACTGTGTACCGGCGACAAACCCAGCCAGCTGTCACTGAAACAGGCTAAAATCCTCATTGACTTGATCAAGAACGATTACTATGTGCATCTGTAAGTAACTTATAACCAAATTCATTGTATGCCAATTAATAGTCTGCTCAGTTATTATTTTCATTATAAAATATACTGTATTATAGACATAAATATGTGATGTGATAGAAAAAAATGCTTTGTTATGAAGTTGCTGGCATTATGATATAAAAATAGTCTTACATAATGGATGATTATATGAGTTAACATTAAATATTTGTTAGAAAATTTCAAATTCATGAATTAATTTAGTGTATTTTAGAAAAGGGAATATCACAGACATGTACAATGAACCGCATGTTAATTTAAAGTTGTATTATGCAAATTGTAACTGACTGAAAAATAAAAATCAACATTTGGTTGGATTTGAATTTGGGACACTTGTACATCTGAAGTGGACACTAACGCAGCACTGTAAAGCTATGAACTATAAGCATTTAACATTTCTATATTACCATACATTAATATTTCATGTGCCTTTATTCATCTAGGTTGGTTGACAATTTACCGTGTGCCACAAAGTTTGCTTTAATTGACACACAAGAGATCCAATATGAGCATGGCTATAGACTTGGTTTTGAGAAGGATGGAAAGGTAAAAGATGTTATCCGGAACTCGGCAATTTGTTTTTTCCAAACTGACCTGTAGGTATAAACAAAGTTGTACCATTATTGCTTCACAGTGCACTACCCGTCATAATAAATTGGTCAACCTGTTGTGCTTATTTTCGAAGCTATAACTGTAAAAGGTTTGTTTGTATCTACGGATTAGCTGGAAATTATAAACCCAAATATTCTTAATTTTGGAGTTAGTCTATTGTTAGGACAGTGTGCATTTCATCATGCTTATGAACACTTAATGAAAGATATTTATGAATGTGAAATGTTGAAAAGTATAAGAAATTGAAAGCACATTATGTGAACTGAAAATCTCAATAAGTATATGATCAATGGAATAATTAGATGCAGCAATTGCAGATAAATCATTTTATAAAGTACTTGTTTCTATGTAGAAGTAGTTTGGTTTGACTGTTGTAAGCAAATAAAATGTGGTGACTGGCATATTTTCGTGTGTGTTTGAATAAATGAATCTAACCTTTTAGTGTAAGCTTTATAAATAGATACTGCTTTATGATAGGCTTTTATAGACATTTTGTGTGTTTGTACATCATTACATGTAATATAACATGTATAAAAATTGCTAAAAATTGAAATATAAATGTTCTTGGATTTATTTGAAAGGATTTGCATCAGTTAAGACATACTTTAAGGCAAACATTTAAATTTGTTTTTTTCTTGTATTTTTGTAGGCTTACTTGAACAATCACTTGAAGATTTTATTGAAGTACCATTTTGATGTTAGTAGGTAAGTGCAATGTATGGTCTTAACATGCTGGAACTGAAAGTGATTACCATTTGCCACCAGTATAGGTTTTGGAAATTTTGTTTAGATTCATTGTTGGCTTGCAAGTTTTAATAACTTATTTTACCTATTGAAAGCCATATATTCATTTCTGGTAAAGAGAGTTTTAACTTTCAGTAAGACGAATAAAATGACAAATTCAGTTTATTTGTACTGTAAAAGTCAAAAATTGTGATTTCCTAGCTTTACTGTTCGAGGAAGACGACAGGTGCCACTATTTGCAAGAGCGAGCATCTGAGTAGAATCGTCAATATTTTGTATCTTATTTAGATAGATTCCTCTTAATAAATAATGATGGGATTAGATCCAATGGTAGTAAGATGTTATTTGATTTTAAAGAATAATAAGGCATAAAACACTAGATTTTGCTGATATATACAATAACAAATGAAAATTATTCCTCTTGTTTATTGCAGCCAGACAAACAGAGTAGTTGGGTTTGAGGTAGCCCCAGAAAGCCGTTCCGTAACAGATTACGAGGTCAAGGATGGTGCATGTTCAAGTAAAGCCAGTCTTGCTAAATCGGACCCATCTCCTCTGCTTGTAGAGGCTAAAGGTAAATGAGCCGCGCCATGACAAAACCAACATAATGGGTTTGCGACCAGCATGGATCCAGACCAGCCTCCGTTCATATATTTATGTTCACAGCAGGAGCTTAATTTATGTTTTCATATTTATATTCACAGAAAGAGCCCAATTTATTTTTATTGTTATAATTAAAAAAAAATGAAGCTATGTTCACATATTTATGTTTACATATTTATATTTTTGAGAAGAATCAGTTACTTTCAGATATTCATGTTAACAAAAGAAACCAAAGTTATGTTCTCAGATTATTTGTTTACTAAAATAACCCAAGTAATGTCCACATGTTAATATATTGTTTATATGAGGAACAAAAATTATGTTCATATATTTATGTTAACAGAAGGAACTAAAATTATGTTCACATATTCATTTTCACAGAAGGGACCAAAGTTATGCTAACATATTTATGTAAACAGGAGGAACCAAAATTATTTTCACATATTCATTTTCACAGAAGGAACCTAAGTTATGTTCACATGTTAATATATATATATGATTACAGAAGGAACAGAGGTTATGTTCACATATGAGGTACACTGGGAGCAGAGTGATATAATCTGGGCATCAAGATGGGACACCTACCTGGCTATGAGTGATGTACAGATACATTGGTTCTCCATTATCAACTCTGTTGTTGTGGTCTTCTTCCTCTCAGGTTAGTGCTATTGTGACTCACGTGCAATGTAAAGTAATGTGAAAAAATGGTTATATAAAACCAATGGCATCCAGTTGGTTATAAAAAATATTGAATGTATAATCAAACTTGTTTTCTTTTGAAATTGAATATTATAAAAACATTGGCATCTGGACAGGTATTAAAGTTGTTAAATGTAACAATTGAAGACTAAGAGTAGTATGTGTCATAGATATAGTATATGAAAACTTATTTTGAATTGATTTAATGTAACAAGTGTATATGACATTATAATTGGAGTAAAATGCATGTGTGTTTGGAGAGGTTTGCTATAGAAATAAAAATTTGAATTTAGCAAAGTAGGAAATTGTCCAGTGAATGTTCAGAATCAAAAAGTGTTTTTAGAGAGCATTGACTCGTGACGTCACAAGTGTCAACAATCGAAAGACATTATAGAAATGTGTGAAAAACTTTATTTCCTAAACTGTTTTTTAGTGCATGCAAATGAAGTTAAGTGTACTTGTGACGTATATAATCCAATAATATGTCTTAAAAATGTTAAAAAAAAAGAAACAAAAACTGTCGGGTAAAAAGATAAAAAATATTTGCATTTCATATGGTTCAGAGAATATAATATTAGATTAGAAATATCATTGTATTGCAGGTATATTGACAATGATTATGATCAGAACATTGAGAAAGGACATTGCAAAATATAACAGAGATGAGGATTTGGTAAGTGTATTAACCCCTTGATATGCTGAATTTCTTAAATGAACATGTCCAGCTTCCATTTGTGGACCTGTCCATTATCATTTTTTGGGGATATCAATATGAAAATATTAAGTTAAACAGGGGACAGTATATACTTTGGTTAGACTGCATAGATATGTAGGGCTGGCCTGGCTCTATACTAGTGACAAAGGCACCTTTTGTGCGAGCATACTAACTATAGACCTTATTTATTTTCAGTGATTTCTTGCATTAAAAGTTCTACAAATCATTATAGCAGAAATTTTATTATCAGCTCTATAAAAAAGTGTGCATTATTGTTTTAAGACCAAATAATTTGATACCCAAATATTCAAGGGGGTGTTGTTGGGCAAGTGGTTAAGGTTGCTGACTTAAATCACTTGCCTTGCACTGCTGTTGGATATGAATCTTGCCACAGAAATGGATTCTTTCAAATGAAGAAGCTATGCTTTACAGAAGGTTGGTGGGTCCGCTTGTGGATAAGGGGTTGGTTGCCTTTATGGGTTGGGCATTAGAATTGCAGCAATTGTTGTGTCGCCTCTACGGAGTAGTGGCGACATATAGGGATCACTTCTCCGTCGTCTGTCTGTCCGTCTGTCCGTCTGTCCGTCTGTCTGTCTGTCTGTCTGTCCGTCTGTCCGTCCGTCCGTCACAAAACTTGTCCGGACTACCCCTCATAAACTACTGGTGCAATTTCATCCAAACTTTACAGGAATGATCAGTATCAAGTCTAGTTGTGCATATTGTCAGCATTTTCCGGTTCAATGATTTTTGTCAGAGTTATGGCCCTTTAGAAATTTTTTATTTTAAAGTTTGTCCGGACTACTTCTCTTATACCACTGAAGCAATTTCAATGAAACTTCACAGGATTGATCTGTAGCTCAAGTCCTTGCGCATATTGCAAGGGTTTTCCGGTTGAATGATTTTTGGCCGAGTTATGGCCCTTTGATAAAAAGGTGTTTTTTTCTGTGTGTTGCCAGATACAAAAATAGTTGTCCGGATCCCCCAAAAAAATACGGTGCAATTTCACCCAAAATTTAAGGAATATCATCCACATTGTGAATTGTAGCATTTTCTTTAATTTTTTTGTAGAGTTATCCCCTTTTAATTTTTTTTTTTTTAAAGTTTGTCCGGATATTTTTTTATCCATTAAAATTTTAAAAAAATTGGATTTTGTTTTACTCAAGTTTCGAAAATTTTGCAGGGGGTTTTCCCGGTTAATGATTTTTGGTGAGAAAGGGTCTTTGAAAAAAAGGGTTTTTTTTCTGTTGTTCCCAGAAACAAAGTTTTCCCGGACTTTATAACTAGGGTGCAATTTTACCCAAAATTTTTACATTTGCAGTAAAGTCTAGTTTCCGTCCTTGCCCTGTCGTCTGTTAAAAAATTTGTCTAAATGAAATTGGCCATTTGAGGCCACATGTATTTGACCCCCTCTTTTTTTCCCCGTAATGGTAAAAAAATTTTTTGAAATATAAATCTTCATTTTCCCTGCAGCAGGTGGGAGGGTTTTTACCTCGGGTGTTCCTTGGTTGTCCCCGAGGTTACCAAACATCTTCCCTTTTGACCCAAAATAATAATAAAATTTGGAACAAGGAAGAAGGGGCACTTAGCTTTTTTTTCCCATATAAAAACCCCCTTTGGCATGATTTAAAAACCCATGAAAAAAAATTTAAATTTTTATTTTAATATTTATTTTAATTGAAAATATGATTTTTTTTTTAAGGAAAAAATTAAAGGCCCGGATGGAAGCTTGTCTGGGGATGTATTTAAACACCCCGATTTTTTAAAAAGTTGCTGGCCTTTTTTGGTGCTGGAATACAAGTTTTTTATTTGTTTGGGTAAGTAGAAAATGAAAACCAATGTTTATGTGGGGGTTTTTTTAATTTTAAAATAAGTAAAGGGCAGTTTCAATGTTGGAAATTCAATTTTTTTCCCAAAACCCTACATTTTTTTCTTTATTTGACTAAATTTTTCCCAATGTTTCAAAAAATGTTGCATTGTGCTACCCAAAAAAAAAATTGTCGATTTTTTATTTAATGAACTAATTTTATAAAAAAGTAGTATTTTTGGGTGATGGATATTTTTTTTGATATGATTTAACACAAAGGATACTTTTTTTTTGAATTTTTTTTCAAACTGAATTTTTGACGCTTTTTTCTAATATGGTGTATAGTATAAGGGGTTTTTGTTAGCAAGCAGAAATATTTGGAAATTTTTCGAAATTGAAAAAAATTTTAGAAAAATATCAATAACCCGATTGTTTTTTCCCGCACCTCCTAAAAATTTCCCTTTTGCGAAGGTCTGAATTTTAAATTCGCTTTTCTTTTAAAATGCAGAAAATTCCCCCATACAGTTTAGATTTATTTGAATATATTACAAAATTTCAGATTTGCATGTTGGGTATGTTATACCCCCCATCTAGAGGGCTCTTATGATGACAATTCCTTTTGTATTTATGGGGGGAAAAATTTTCTGTTATCTAATTTTTAAGAATTTACCCCATAGGTATGAAAAAGTTTTTTCCTATAAAGGGGTTTGCATTTTTAATTTAGCAAAATTCTAATTTTGTTTAAGTTTTAAACAGTTTTAAAATTTCTATCTTTTTAGTTTTGTTTTTGAGTTTTCCCAAAAAGTTTTTTGGGAAATCATTCATATGATTTTTTTCTTGTGATTAAAATTTTATGGTTTTCCCTTTTTACCCCATATGGTACTTCCAAAGTCAAAATTTTGCAAGTCCCCTGATTCTAAATTGTTTTTAGAATTAAGGGGGAAGCCCTAGAACTTGTTTATGCAGTTCAGACTCAAGCGATTAAAAACCAGCACTTCGATAGATAGCTAATTCTTAATTATTTAACAAAAATGTTCTGATCAGGTAGGGTAATTTGATGTAATTGTTTAATCTGATAATCAATTTCATTTCAATCTATATAACATGTCTTTCTACAGGTTGATTGCTGGATATTTTGCTGCAAGAATTTACAAAACGATGAAGGGTACACAATGGAAACAGTCCGCTTTACAGGTAATATACTCCGCTATATATAGTATTTACCAGTTTTACCTAATTTCTTTCAATCCTTAAAAGTTTTTTTGAGTGCTATAGGGCACAAAATCAACATTATTGAGCCGTGTCATGACAAAATCAACATAGTGTTATTGCGACCAGCATGGATCCAGACCAGCCTGCGCATCTGAGCAGTCTGATCAGGATCCATGGTGTTGGCTTACAAACCCTTTGAAAGAAACTGTCGGAAACGCAGGGACCCTGATCAGACCCCGGGATGCCCCGGCGGGGTCTGGATCCATGCGGTTGCAACCCCACTTTTTGGTTTTGTGAAAACACGGCTCATATTGTTAAATCAGGCTAGCCTGTAGTTTATTTTTTCGATGGATTGTTTTTTTTTAAATTTAAAACCCTTTTTAACAAAAAATTAAGTTATTAAAACTAAACAGACTACCCATTAAACTAGATTTTGTCAGAAATTAATATGGTGGAAAATTTTAAGATAACTTTATCTTGAGCCTTATCTAAAAAAGATTTAGCTAGTTTCCAAAAAAAACAAACAAAAAACAAAAGCAAAACCCCAACACCTTGATTTCCAGTTAATTAAAATATTATAAATCAAATGAGATTCTCCTGATGAATATTTCGCAGGTATGAATAGATGATATGATGAAATATATTGTTCAATGATTTAGATTGTTGTCATCAAAGCTTACTATAACACGATGCAATAATTGGTCGCCATTAGGGGAGATATAATTACTTATATAAACGACTCTAGTCTAATTTTAAGACAAGTTCAAGACAACAGCAAAAGATATTATCATTTGTGATTTCATTTCAGACTGCTACATTATACCCAGGACTTGTTTTTGGAATATGTTTTTTCCTGAACTTTTTCATTTGGGGCAAACACTCATCAGGAGCTGTACCATTTACAACAATGTTGGCTCTACTCTGTATGTGGTTTGGTATCTCAGTACCACTTGTGTTCCTCGGCTATTTCTTTGGGTTCAGAAAACAGGTTAGTATTTAAAGTATTTTGATTATTACATCCCTGATAAGTTTCCCTGAAAATTTGTAATATTGTAATGACGTTGGTAGAACTGATAATGAGCATATTAATATGCAAAAACTAAAGTTGATGAATTAACATAATGGAATGTTTTTCATAAATAAAGGCCACAAACCACTCTTGATGGTGAGCTGGATTTCCACTGGTAGGATTTGTGTGCCTTAAAATGTTACAATATTTTTATGATAGTAAAAAAGTTTCAGTGGTGCATGCAACAGGTGTATGACATTTGACACAGTCTGTCTATAGGGGGCTACACAGATGTCAGGCATCAGTGTTTTATTGTTTCCTCATACTGTCCCTGCTTTTCATTTTAAGATGGGATGTCCGATCATACAGTTTCCAGTTTTATCTCATCATCTAAGCCTTCTGTTACATTTACTGTCTTATTTTTCATAGCAACTGTATTTATTGACTGATATTTTACATATTTAGTGTGTGTGAATCTCCCACTGAACTATGTATGCCTTTGAGTGGAATTTCATATTGATTTGGTCAAGGTCACTGAAGCTTAATTTAATTTTTCCTTCTTTTTGTCTGCTGCTGGTAGGCCAGTGATTTTAATCTGTTAGATTAAAAGAATTATAGCCCCATGTTTGTTTAATTGTAAACTGTGATTTGTATTGTAACATGGTTGACACAATAAACAATTATCATTTCAGTAAACATATGGCTATAGCAGGTGCAATTCTTGTTAATGATAGTTAAAAAGATTATTTTATAACGGATGTCATTATTTTCTGTTACAGGCATATCAGCATCCTGTAAGAACCAATCAAATTCCAAGACAAGTTCCTGAACAAGCCTGGTATATGTCACCAGGTCTCAGGTTAGATATTTACTATTTTTCTGTTGAACATATGCACACATTTTTGTACAGTTTTTAGCTCAAGCTATTGTACTTGCTCACATGTCAGCATTCCCCTTTTATTGGTACAAGTTTTCAGGCATTTGACTAAAGTTCAGGTTGTTTTTTCTACTCCTGAAAGTTTCTTTTTCCATATAGAACTAATTGAAATTGAGTTAAAGGCCCATTATGCCTCACCACTGCTATCAATTTTATTTCTGAAAACCTTTTTATTTATGGTATTTTATTACATCTTCCGAAAAAAATATTTCTTTGCAATATAAATGAATTTTTTTTTTGTGCAACTTTTGCTCTGTTGGCAATTGGTCTGATTTAAGTTAATCAGCATTTTGTATGGAAGTTAAAATACTACTTTGTTTACATTTTGCTATTTTTGCAACACATTACTGCACATTTAGCGATTCTTTCTTCAGTTGTTATACATGTTCAAATGCTCTTAATCCATTATCAAAGCATTATTAAACAAATGTTTGACATTTCTAAAGAATTTGCTTTGAATGATTTATCATATTTACTAATAATTTTGTTGTAAATTTCAGCATCTTGATGGCAGGTATTCTACCATTCGGAGCTATGTTCATTGAACTGTTCTTCATCTTTACAGTGAGTATTATCTCCCTTGATATATGTTTGAGATAAATTAAGTCAAAATTTCTTCATTTATTGTTGAAATATTTTTATTTCTCTTTGAGATTTCCTTTTTTTAAGGAATTCTGATTTGTATATTTCACACAACAGACAAATTTATAAGTTTAAAGCTATTGTTTGATGTATATTTTCGAACCACTATAATTTTGATTGCTTAAACATTGTAGGCACTTACTGTATGTGTACATATATATTTTATTTTCAGGCAATTTGGGAGAACCAGTTCTACTATCTGTTTGGTTTCTTGTTTCTAGTGTTTGTCATTCTCATAATTTCTGTATCACAAATCTCGATTGTGATGGTATACTTCCAGTTATGTGGCGAGGTAAGCTCTTCCATTTTCTCTGTATTTTTATGCCACCACAGCATCTGCGATGCAGTGGCATATAGGGATTCACCTGTGTGTGTGTTGGTGTGTTTGTGTGTGTGTGTTATATAGATTATATAGTGAACTTAAAAAATCTTCTTGTGAAAAACCACTAGTCCAATTTCAACCAAACTTGGCAGGATTGTTCCTTGGGTGAAGGGCTTCCAAAGTTGTTCAAAGAATTTCATTCCATGCAGAAATCTGGTTGCCATGGCAACCAAAAAAGAATTATAAGAATAAATTTAAAAAAATCTTCTTGTAAAGACCCAAAAGGCCTAGAGCTTAGATATTTTGCATAAGGCATTGTCTGGTAGACCTCTAACAAGATTGTTCAAATTATAGCCCTGGGGTCAAAATTCGGCCCGCCCCGGGGTCATTGATTTTCACTATGTACATATAGTAAAAACTTAAAATACCTTCTTGTAAAAACCCAAAAGGCCTTGAGCTTAGATATTTTGCATAAGGCATCATCTGGTAGACGACCTTACCAAGATTGTTTCAAGTTATAGCCCTGGGGTCAAAATTGGCACCGCCCCGGGGGTCATTGATTTTCACTATGTACATATAGTAAAAACTTAAAATACCTTCTTGTAAAAACCCCAAAAGGCCTAGAGCTTAGATATTTTGCATAAGGCATCATCTGGTAGACCCTTACCAAGATTTTCAAATTATAAGCCCTTGGGTCAAAATCGGCCCGCCCCAGGGGGTCATTGATTTTTCGCTATATGTACATATAGTAAAAACTTAAAACACCTTCTTGGTAAAGGACCCAAAAGGCCTAGAGCTTAGATATTTTGCATAAGGCATTGTCTGGTAGACCTCTACCCCAGATTGTTCAAATTATAGCCCTGGGGTCAAAATTGGCCCCGCCCCAGGGGTCATTTGTTTTCCTTATATGTATATAGTAAAAACTTAAAAAAAAGTTCTTCTAGCAATTGACAAATGCTTAGAGGTTAGATATTTTGCATGAAACATTGTGTTGTAAACTCTAGCAAGATTGTTCAAATTATAGCCCTGGGGTCAAAAATTGCCCCGCCTCGGGGTCATTGATTTCAAATAATACATATAGTAAAAAATAAAAAAAATCTTATTGTCTGAAGGTACAAGGCTTAGAGCTTTAATATTTGTTAAATAATATCATCTAAAGGTACTCTACCAAAGCCTCTTGTGTCAAAATTAGCCCGCCCGTGGGAGCCATAGGTTTATCTTATATGTATATAGTTAAAACTTAAAAAATCATCTTCTCTAAATGTACAAAAGGATAGAGTTAAGATATTTTGCATGAAACATTGTGTACTGAATCTCTAGCAAGATTGTTCAAAATTATAGCCCTGGGGTCAAAATTGGTTCCGCCCGGGGTCATTGATTTTCATTATGTACATATAGTGAAAAAAACAAATTTTGTCTGAAGGTTCAAGGCATAGAGCTTTGATGTTTGATATATAATATCATCTATAGGTCCTCGACCAAAGTTGTTCAAATGTCAAAAATTTGCCCTGCCCGGGGCAGTGATTCTTATTATGTACACGTAGTAAAAACAGAAAATAAAACAAATGTTTTCTGAATGGGTGAAAGCTATAGCTTAGATATTTGACTTTGAAATGTTGTTTTTGGTGGAACCTGTATCAAGATTGTTATTAAACCCTTGGGTCAAAATTATGCCTTGCCCAAAGGGGACAGTGACCTACTTTCTTGTCCATTTTGATGTACAGCAATGACATTTTGACCATGTGCACAGTTTTAGATTGGTAAAATTGAACTTTCGGACCTAGATTTTGGATGATGTTGACCTACCCCTTTCTTGTCCTTTGGATGTACAAGCTATGAA